CTCTCACACACACACACTCACTCTCTCACACACACACACTCACTCTCTCACTCTCACACACACACACACACACACAGTGCTGGCGCTGCTTCTGCTGTCTGATTCTAGATGCACCGTTAACAGCTTGACGTTATGTGTGAAGAATTCAAACCTAAACGATCCTCTGATGTTCTCGAGCAGGTTCTGGTGGCGGGTGTGAGCAGCGCGGTGGTCGGTGTGACGATCGAGATGAAGCCGCGGCGGCGCAGTAAGCGCAGCGTGCTGTACGACATCACGGCGGAGTTCTCCGCGGCGGAGGAGCGCGGCGGCGGGCGAGCGCTGGGAAGCTGCAGCCGCGTCGAGGCCAGACACATTCACATGCTGCTGCAGAACGAACTGTTCATTAACATCGCCACAGCCGAGCAGCAAGAGAGCGAACTGCGCGGACAGATACGAATGCTGCCGTACAACGGACTGGACGCACGCCGAAATGGTGAGAAAGACAGCGTTTACATTGAAAACAATTAAATAAAATCTATTTGTTAGAAAAAAAGTCATATAAATGTATTTATAATAATTTTTTCATTTATTTATTATAAAAATAATATTATATGTTCAGTATATATGTGACCCAGGACCACAAAATGTTAGATTGGTATTATTATTTATTTTAAAAATATATATCTAATTTAAATTAATTTTATTTTCTTGTTTTAAACATGCTTTATATATAAATTAGAATGCATTATTTCAAAATCTTTTGTTTCTACAAAAACAGCGGGCGGGCTGAATGCAAATGCAGCAGGTGGCGCTTATGGAACATCATTATAGATAAATAAATAAAAGTATCAATAGTTATTGATTTTAGATCTTATGTAAGTGGGTCAAAGACGTTAAGACGTCTGCATCAAAAGAAATGTACTAAAGTGATTTTATATCCATAGAAAGCACATTGAATGTAAGTAAAGCGTCTACTTTTAAGGTTTCAAATAAGTTTTTGGAGAATAAAATGTCAAAATTTGTTTGAAATAATGTAACATTGTCATAAAAATTCAAACATGCTTATTCTGACGTGTACATGTTAAAATATATAAAAGAATAAGAGAGCATATTAAATTTGATTGTGTTTTAAATTAGTAAAAAATAATTTCTGACAAATGGGCAAAACCTAGGATAGTGGCAACTTTTAGAAATGTAAAATTACAACTAATTAGTGTTTGGGGC